TGGCTCATGCACACCGGGAGGCTCAGATGTGTGGATTGGTTGAGTTCAGGATTTGAGACCAGCCTGGGCAAAAGCAAGACCCCATCTCTAAAAATAGCTGGGCATTGTGACACCTGTAGTCTCAGCTACTCGGAGGCTGAGGCAAGAGGATCACTTTAGCCCAAGAGTTTGAGGTTACTGTGAGCTATACTACGATGTCTATGGATGTAGACAGTACTCACTGTCTCAAAAAAAAAAAAAAAAAAAGCAGATCTTGGGCTCTAGAGGCAAAGAGACCTCTCAAAGTTCAGATCCTGGTTAGTCCTCACTCTGGCCACAGTCAAGTGATTTACTCTTCCAGAGTCTCAGTTTTCTCATTAGTAAATTGAGTATACCATTAAACTTAAGGTACCTGCTTGGGTTGGCCATTGAAGCAAACACATTAAAATGCCTAAAAGGCTGTGGGTTCCTGGCACATAGTAGATGCTTAGTATACAGTCGCAGGAAGACCAGGTACAGTGGCTGGCTCACAGCTGTAATCCGAGTGCTTTAGGAGGCCAAGGAAGGAGATCACTTGAGGCCAGGAATTCAAGACCAGCATGGGCAACATTGAAACCCCAGACGTGGTGGTGTGTGCCTGTAGTGCCAGCTACTTGGGAGGCTGAGACCAGATGATCCCTGGAGCCAAGAAGTTTGATGTTATAGTGAGCTATAATCATGCCACAGTACTCTAGCCTGGGCAACAGAATGAGACCCTGTTTTGTTTGTTTGTTTTGCAGTTTTTGGCCAGGGCTGGGTTTGAACCTGCAACCTCCAGCATGTGGGGCCGGTGCCCTACTCCTTTGAGCCACAGGTGCTGCCTGAGACCCTATTTCTTTTTTTTTTTTTTTTTTTGAGACAGAGCCTCAAGCTGTCCTCCTGGGTAGAGTGCCGTGGCATCCTTCCAGACCCCAGCCAGGTAACATCAGACAGCTGCCCTTCATAGTACTAACCACTCCGGCTGTCATTGCTGGCTCTCTCATCTGCCTCCTGGACTGAGTGGTCTTGTCAGCCTTGCCTCTTCCCCATATGGGAGACCCTTGGTGGATGTCAGAGCCCACCAGGCATTGTGCCGGATGTTAAGACCTTCCATGGGCCTTTGCTTGCAAGCTGTAATAGGGTGAGAAGGAGCTAAGGACAGGGGCCCCTTGGAGAGCTACCTGGCAGGTTGGAGTAATGGTTAAGATCTTAGGGGCTGGCTTGGCGCCTGTGGCTCAAGCGGCTAAGGCGCCAGCCACATACACCTAAAGTGGCAGGTTCGAATCCCCAGCCCGGGCCCGCCAAACAACAATGACGGCTGCAACCAAAAAAAATTGCCGGGCATTGTGGTGGGTGCCTGTAGTCCCAGCTACTTGGGAGGCTGAGGCAGGAGACTCGCTTGAGCCCAGGAGTTGGAGGTTGCTATGAG